TACAGGTGTGAGCTACTACACCTGGCCGATAATACAGTTTCTAATTAATTTGTATTTCCCTAGTTCCTAGTGAGGTTAAATGTGTTTGCATATTTATTGCGTATTTGTGCATACTTTTTGCTGAAAAGCCTCTTTGTATTTTTGCATTTCTCTCTTGAGTTGTCTTGATTGATTTATAGTTCTCTTTTTCTTTTTCCAAGAGACGGAGTCTTGCTCTGTTGCCTAGGCTGGAGTGTGGTGGCTCTGTTATAGCTCACTTCAGCCTCCAACTCCTTGGCTCAAGCAGTTCTCCCACCTCAGCCTCTTAACTAGCTAGGACTGCAGGAGCAAGCCACAGTGCCTGGCTAAGTTTTAAATTTTTTTCACAGAGTATGGAGCTTGCTATGTTGCCCAGCTGGTCTCAAACTTCTGGGCTCAAGCGGTCCTCTTGCCTTGGCCTCCTAAAGTGCTGGAATTACAGACGTGAGCCATCATACCTGTCTTTTCTTTTTTTTAAGTATCAAATTCTTATGTATGTTGCTTAGGTCAGTACATAGTCAGCATTTATATTTGGTCAAACTGTGTGAAATTGTTAACATTGAGCTGTTTGAACTAAAGAATTCCCATTTCATTTAGTTCAGCCCAGTATTATATATTTTTCCCAATTATTTGCACGTACTTTATTTTTATGTAATCACTTTTGTTAATATACTGTGGCTTCATTGAGTCTTACTTTAAAAGGCTCCTGTTGATTATGTGAATGTTTAAACTCTTTTTTTAGGACTTGATTTCATCTGAAATCAGTTTATTTTTGTCATAGGGATTTAATTTTTCTACATTTGTGGACAGTTGTCCCAACACCATTTATTAAATGTTGTGTTTCTTCTCCAACAGTTTTGGAATGCTACTTTTATAATAAATTTTGCTATTATAGATGTATGTCTTCATTTTTGATTTTATTACATTAATCTATGTGGTTTTCCTGTGGTGATGCTATTCTAGTTTTAATTACTAGGTTTTTGTAATATTTTGGTATCTCTTAGAGCAGGTTGTCATTGTTTTTGAAGTTGCATTGCCTCTTCTTATACTGTTCTCTTACAGATGCTTTCCAGAATCATTCTTATGCTCTTGATTTTTTATTTTAATGACATACAGTCTCCGGAGTAGAGATGAAGAGAGAATTTCTAAGCCTGGGGCTGTCTCAACTCCTGTAAAGCATGCTGATGATCACACACCTAAAACAGTGGAAGAAGTTACAGTTGAAAGAAACGAGAAACAAACACCTTCTCTTCCAGGTAAGCATAACAAAACACTAAGTTCAAGAAATGTTTGCCATTAGAGTAAAGTAATTGTTAGGATTTACAGAAGATTTTAAAGATGCAATTATTATTGTTCTCATGTGTGAATTTGTCTGCATATGACTTCCAGCGTTTTCCTTATGGGTAGCAGGTTGGCACAAAGCAGTAGCCTTTCATGAATGTTATCCTTTACTTTCTAGATGGAAAATGTTTATCATTAACAACTTCTTGCAATTAAGAAAGTTGTTTTCCAACACTGCTCTTTAAAGAGAAATATGAGATTGGCTTCAAAAAGTTAAAAAAAAAAGTTATTTTGCTTTTTTGAAAGTGTTTTCATAAACATCTTATTGATTATACCTTTATTTATTTATGGTTTTTTGTTTGGGTTTTTTTTTTTTTTTTGAGACAGAATCTCACTCTGTCACCCAGCTGGAGTGCCGTGGTGTGATTAGCTCACTGTAACCTCAAAATTCCTGGGCTCCAGCTGTCTTTCCACCTGATCCTCCCTGCTACAGGTGTGCACCACCACACCTGGCTCTTTTGGGTTTTCTGGTTTCTTTGTGGGGTGTTTTTTTGGGAGAGATGGAATCTTGCTTTGTTGTCCAGGTTGGTCTCCAACTCCTGGCCTCAAACAGTCCTCTCACCTCAGCTTTCCAGAGTGTTGGGATTACAGGCGCAAGCTGCTATGTCCAACCCAAGAACCCTTTTCAGGCTGTCTGTGAAGACAGAACAGAACAATCAGCAGGTGCTAAGATCGGCTGCCTGGGAGGCCTGGAGATTCTGTTTCTGATGTCTTTCACTTCCTTCTCTCAAATCATCTTTCTTGCTCTGCTTGCTTAGTGGCAGAAATATGGTTATTGAAAACCAAATTTTAGCATAATGAGGAAAGGTAGCTACTTGGGTAGTCTTAACGGGGAAATGGAGGAATTCTCTCTTCTCATCTATTTTTGTTATTCGTTCCTAAAGAATAGATTTTTCAAATTCTGATTGCTGGAATTATGGAAAACACAGGTGACTGTGTAACATACCTACTTGTTATAAAGACTTCAGAATTTATTACCATAAAATGTACTCTAATACATGTGGTAGATATGTTCCTCATCAGGTTCTCTGAACTTATGAATCATATATTGCCTGGTTGCTTGCATTATTATTCCATGTTTTTCTAAAGTGAGTCCTACCCAATTTTTTTTTTCTTAGAACCAAAGCCTGTGTATGCCCAGGTTGGGCAACCAGATGTGGATTTACCTGTCAGTCCATCAGATGGTGTCCTACCTAATTCAACTCATGAAGATGGGATTCTTCGGTAATACAATTTTAAAGTTGCATTGTTTTCTTTGTTCATTGTTAGGCATTATTTAGAGTAGGAATTTAATTGTAAACCATATTGCATATATTTTTTAAAATAGTACATACCACCTAATACTATGATTAGTTTTTTTATTTAACATTCTGCTACTTATATATGATAGTCAGTCAGAAATTAGACAACAGAGGAAATTTTTGGATGCATTCTTTCTCACCACTGTCTCCTGCCTAGTTTTTAAGTTAGGAATTAGAAAAAAAAAATTTCTATTCAGACATCAGAATTTCCACAGCTTTCCAATGGAGCATTAAAAAAAAAAATTGTGTTTCTCAATCTCAGCACTAGTGGCATTTTGGGCCAGGTAAGCGTTTATTGTGAGGGGCTGTCCTGTGTATTGTGGCATGTTTAGCAACATTCCTGGCCGCTAGATGCCAATAGCAGTTCCCTAATTGTGACAATTAGAATTCTCTCTGGACATTGCCAGATGTTTCCTTGGGGGCAGAATCATGGTTGAGATTGTTTGAGAACCTGTTCTAGGGTAGTTAGCAACTCAAAAGTAAGTTTTTGCTATCTTAACACCTTTCATTACTTTACATTTTATACTTGATAGAATTGAGATGTAAATTTGTAAACAAATTTCAAACCATCATGATCATCAAATTAGTATTTTGTTTGTTTGGTTAGTTTTTTTTTTTTTAACAGGGTCTTGCTCTGTCTCCCAGGCTGGAGTGCTGTGGTACGATCTCGGCTCACTGCAACCTCTGCCTCTCGGGCTCAAACAGTCCTCCCACCTCAGCCTCCTGAGTAGCTGGGACGAAAGGACCCACACCACCACACCTAGCTAATTTTTGTATTTTTAGCAGAGATGAGGTTTCACCATGTTGCCCAGACTGGTCTAAAACTCCTGGGCTCAAGCAGTCCACCAACCTCAGCTTCCCGAAGCGCTGGGAATACAGATGTGAGCCGCCATGCCCAGCCCGAATTAGTTTTTTATTGGCGCCGGTAAAGGGGACATGATGTGAATAACTGAAAATTGGCAGATTTCCTCAAATGGGTTGGATCTGGACCCCTGACTCTCATATTTTCATTGCTAAAGAAAATTGGGTGGTTGTCTTAGACCCAGCTAGGTAGATAGAAGTAGTTTCTGAAAGAGATGGGGCTTTTACAAGTTTAAAATTGTACAATTTTAATATTAGGTAACTGATAATTGAACCTTTTATAAATTGTGAAGGCATAGGTAGTCCCCTTCTTTTTCCTTTCTTGGGAATTGCTTGAAAATTTGCGTAAGTGTTTAAGGTTTAGGAAACCGTAATGATAAGATTCCAGAGACGGGCCGGGCGCGGTGGCTCACGCTGTAATCCCAGCACTTTGGGAGGCCAGGGCGGGTGGATCACGAGGTCAGGAGATCGAGACCATCCTGGCTAACACGGTGAAACCCCATCTCTACTAAAAATACAAAACTTAGCCGTGCATGGTGGCATGCGCCTGTAGTCCCAGCTACTCAGGAGGCTGAGGAAGGAGAATGGCATGAACCCAGGAGGTGGAGCTGGCAGTGAGCCAAGATGGCGCCACTGCCCTCCAGCCTGGGTGACAGAGCAGGACTCCATCTCAAAAAAAAAAAAAAAGAAAGAAAGAAAAATTCCAGAGACCTCCTTCCCTGGGAGAACAAATACCAAAGAGGATTTGTGGATGTGGGCAGGATTAGTAGCTGTGCCAGGAAAGGTTTGGTTTTTCATTTAAAGCCAATGAATGGATTTGATGCAGAAGTGAGTGAGTCTGTTTTGCTGTTGCAAGTAGTTAATATAATGCCGGCAGGACAAAGTATAAAATGTCAGTCATCGAAGGCACATGACACTGTTGGTGAGATTTGGCCTAAAGTTGTCTTCTAACAGTGGTTTTCAGAAGCCAGGTTTTACTAAAGGGTGGATACTGTGCTCAGTTTTTTTACTTTCTGAAGCACATTAGATTGGTCAGGGTTAGAAGAGGATTTCCAAAGACCTATAGTCTTTTGTTTTTGTTTTTGTTTTGTTTTGTTTTAAAGAGGGCCTCACTCTGTCACCCAGGCTAGAGTATAATGGTGCGATCATTGTTCACCATAACCTCAAACTCCTAGGCTCGAGGAATCCTCCCACCTCAGCCTTCGAAGTAGCTAGGACTACAGGCAACAAGCCACGAAACCCAGCTACTTTTTTTGTTGTTTTCTGTTTTGTTTTGTTTTCTAGTAGAGACAGGATCTTGCTGTGTTGATCAGGGCTGGTAACAAACTCCTAGACTCAAGCAGTTCTCCTGCCTCAGTCTCCCAAAGTGCTGGGATTATAGCTTGAGCTACCGCACCCAATTAGACCTGCAGTCTTAAGGACTTCGAGGAAATATTTAAAGAGCTTTCAGTACAGTGGGTTTAGGAGAGGAATCTATGAGAATGCTTTTGACCTGGCTAGGATACCACTACAACCAAGGGACTTGGACCATTTGTAGCTGGTAAATAGTTTCATGGAGGGATCAAGGATGCCACCAGCCAGTGAGAGACCTCATCTGATTCTCAGGCTCTTACTGTTATGACAAGTTGATGTTAGTTCCAGGTCAGGTCACCCAATCAGAAGTGAATAAATAGTAAGTTCTGAAAGTTAAGGTGGTCCCCTTAGGTGGCTTAAAGAGACTAGAAATCTCTCCTTCCTCAGCACATTCATTCATTTATTTGACTTGTGTTTTTTTGTTGTTATCTGTTAGTTTCTAACAATTTGGTTATTACATAATAAAGACTATAGGGATTTTTTTCTACACGTCTTGTCAGAATAGGTAAAATAGTGTATTTTCTTGGCTAGGAATGTGGGAGTACTTATGAATACCTAGAAAGGAAATATTGTGGATAATTTTTAATTACAGTCTGTTTCTGTCCAGTCAATTCTTATAAGGCATCTTTTAGTATTTGTTTTGAGGAGTGTCACAAGGTTTCAACACTACACTGATGCTAGAGGTGGGTGTGTATGCATTATTTTTTTTCCATTCAGAGAACTAGAAAGGGACAGAGATTGGATGTGGGGCTAATCTAGAAAGGCTGAATGACTATATGATTTGTATTGTAAAACTCAGAGGGGCAGCCAAGGAAGTTAACTACTGTCAACTACTGAAAGAGTCCACCAACTGCAAAGTTTTTTTTAAAAATCACTATCTATTGCATGTAGAAATCACAATGCTTGGAGCCTTATTTTGACCCATCGTGTCAGGAAAATTAGCCAATTTATAGTTCAATTTCTACCTTTATTTTAAAAAATTTGACTTTTCAGTTATTTAATAGAAATGATGCGTGATTTGGGGTAGAAAAAATGGAAGATGTTTTTAGCCATTGGGAATGTACCGTGTATTCCCAAGACTCTTTGAGAGTTGAGAGAACATTGTTTTACAAAGTAATTTTATAAATTAGTTATGTAAAATAATACTTGCATATTAACTTTGAATATTCCAAAACTTTGTTAATCAGAAAATAGTGTTATTAAGTCTGGTTTGAATTCTAACACTAAATTTTATTTAGTAAATCAATGGTGTGTGAGAAATTTTAGAAATGATGTTTCTTTATTAAATTTTGAATGTAGTTTTCACTCTAGTGTTTGCTATAATGTTTTAAGCTCTTCTTAACTGTTTCAAATGAAATATCTGTTTTAACAGACCCAGCATGAAATTGGTAAAATTCAGAAAAGGAGATAGTGTGGGATTACGACTGGCTGGTGGAAATGATGTTGGAATATTTGTAGCTGGCGTTCTAGAAGATAGCCCCGCAGCCAAGGAAGGCTTAGAGGAAGGTGATCAAATTCTCAGGGTACGTCAGTATTGCAACTTACATGGGTTAGAAAGTACTTGGATCACCAGAAAAAGGTATCAAACAACAAGCTTACTACTGTAATTAGATTGTAATCTGTATGCAGTCTCCATTAAGCCAATTAAACTTTCAAGTCAGAATCCATCAAGTCTACCTTATGCGTAACTTCTCACTTCCCATTCTTGTATCTTGCTCTTGTTTACTGCTATATTATGTGTTAGTAAAGAATATGACATTTCATTTCTACCACTAGTGTTCACAGAAATAGAAGAAAATAAGTCTTATATCCCGATGATAATATCTACCAGGTAGTCTTTGGAAGTTCAACTAAACGTTCAGACTGGCAAGACTCTGCCATGGGCCACAACTTGCCAGCAAGCAACATCCGGTGTTCCACTCCCATGTGAGTCATCTTGAAGCAGTCCGCACAGCCTCTGGGACCTTCTTAACCCCAGATAATGGCTCAGGCACAGGGAGATGGAATTCACCTTAAAGGCAGATGTGTAAGCTGCCTGGCTTTGAAACTTCATGCTCCACAAGAGACAGGATCTGTTACACAAATCAGCAAAGCCCAAGTTAGATGCAGATTATCAAGAGAGTCTATAGAGTCCTCCCTTCCTTCCCCATAAACAGTGTCATCTAGTGACATGGTACCATCTTCATCTGTCTCCTGTTTCTTCTTAAAATATCCAAACCTCCATTTGATTTGCTAGATTAAACTATGTCCCATTTTAATCCGAAGGTATCTGTCCGTTGTAAGCTCCTGTATTTATTCTGCTTCTCCACCACAAAGTCTTTACCGTGGCCTCTCTGTTCTGGTCTCTTTCTGTATTCAGCCTGCCTCTTGCCAGTGTCCTGGATTCAGCCCCCTGTCTGCTGCAGAATCTTGTAGCTTTGTTCACTTTCTTTTTCTGTCTCCCGTGGTTCTTCATCTGTCTTCCACTGTCTTATTTGTCCTGTTTTGCTGTTGAACTTGTTGAAGGATGTGGTTGAGGCCCTTGCCTGTTTTCTTGTCAGTCATTGTGGTCATAGAGTTTTACAGCCTGGCTTCCACCTTCACCACTACTGAAGCTCAGTTTTCAATAAACCATGGCTGAGCTAATGTCATCCTCAAGCCTCATTTTCCTTTATTTTTTAGCAGCGTTTTGACTGTCTTAATCTTTTTTGAAGTACTGTCTTCCTTAGATTCCATAATACTGCCATTCTGGTACTCTAATTTTTTTATTCTTTTCCTGCCTTCTTTACTGATACTTTTAAAACTTGGGAATGTTGGTTATTCTCTGCTTCTCTTGCTATACTGCCTCTTTCTTGGGTTTGGTTGCTCAAGTGAGCAGCTCACAATCAAAATCTTTTCACTCTGAGCGATTTCCTGAGCCCTGTCCTTTGCTCATTAAATCCTCCTCTTTTTCCCTTCAAACTTAGCATGTCAAAAAGTCAAGGCATCATCGTGACTTCAGACCTATTTCCATGTGATCTGATATGGTGATTCTTTCTGAAGATGTTTACATAGTTGTCAATCAAGTTATGTCAAAAACAGTTAAATACAACATGTATAATAATGTTCACTATACCAAGGAAATTAAAGAGACCTATTTTCTTACCCACCTCTTAATCCTGTTTTGAAATAATCAGGGCATACATTTTTTAAATGTGTTTTTTTTTTTTTTTTTTTTCTTAAGACAGTGCCTCACTGTCACCCAGACTGGAATGCAGCGGTGTGATCATGGCTCACTGCAGCCTTGAACACCTGGGCTCAAACGATCTTCCCCTCAGCCTCCTGAGTAGCTGGGACCGCAGGCATTCACCACCACACCTGGCAAATTTTTGCATTTTTTGTGGAGACAGAGTTTCACCACATGGCCTAGACTGGTCTCAAACTCCTGGGTTCAAGCGATCCACCTACTTTGGGCTCCCAGAGTGCTGGGATTACAGACATGAGTCACTGCGCCTGGCTAAAAAATGTTTCTTAATAGTTCAGTTTTGTTTTGTATCGTAAAAGTGGTGCATGTCAGATTTTTTTGTTTGTGGGCTTTTTGGCTTTTTTTTTTCTTTTTTTTTTTTAAATCTGGAAAATTTCCAAAAGGTGGAAAGAAGAAAACCTGCCTGTAATGCTGCACAGAGTCACTGGTGACGTTTTGATAAGTTCATTTTGGCATTTAGAAGCTTCTAATGGAAGTAAACATTTACTTGGCAGACACTGAGCCTGCGTTACACAGGTGCTGTTACAGGGACGCCACAGCGCAGACTGTCTTTTTAAGCCCATTTTCTTTTGATTTTTCTCCTCAGCAACTTGTAAAAAGTTATCTTTTTTCATCTAAATTGGTTAAATTTTACAACAGATTATCTTTAATGTCAGGACACACTGAATCTGTTTAAATAAATTTATGCCTTCAACTCACTTTATTTACTTTCTGTTTTTTTAAAATTAGAGGGTATTCTTTTCTCCACAGTAAAATAAGTTTTTTCCTCTTAAAGACGTGATATTTTCGGCCGGGGGCGGTGACTCACGCCTGTAATCCCTGCACTTTAGGAGGCCAAAGCGGGCGAATCTCCTAAGGTCAGGCGTTCGAGATCAGCCTGCCCAACATGGCAAAACCCCGTCTCTACTAAAAATATAAAAAAAATAGCTGGCCGTGGTGGTGGGCACCTGTAATCCCAGCTACTCGGGAGGCTGAGGCAGGAGAATCGCGAATCACTTGAACCTGGGAGGTGGAGGTTGCGGTGAGCCAGGATCGTGCCACTGCACTCCGGCCTGGGCGACAGAGGGAGACTCTGTCTCAAAAAAAAAAGTGATATTTTCAAATTAGGTAGACTGAGAGTATCTGTGTATGTTACTTTCATATTCTTAAACAGCCAAGAATGATTCATGAAATCTTATTTTAATAGGTAAACAACGTAGATTTTACAAATATCATAAGAGAAGAAGCCGTCCTTTTCCTGCTTGACCTCCCTAAAGGAGAAGAAGTGACCATATTGGCTCAGAAGAAGAAGGATGGTGAGATGCTGTCAGAAAATGAAGGAGATAAACCTGTGGAGTTTAAGGACTTACAAAGGGATTTATTCCATTTTTAAAAAATAAGTCACTCAAAGTTGAGTGATGAATGAATTTGTTAATCTCAGAGAAAGTTACATATTCTAAGTCATTTAGGGGCACAGAATTTCAGATGATTCTCATTAGCAGAGCATGCTAATAGTACTAACCTTTATAGTATTCTCATTTAAATAAAATGCCGTCCAACCCTATACAAGTGATAGAAAGTGTTGATTGATTAGCCATCAGAACCATACAAAAGTATATATGAGCAGCTTTCAAATTTTGTGCTGATGTTTCTAAGCAAGACACTCAGTTGTTTATTAGCATTAATTCAAGAGAAAACTCCATTTTTTCTGTAATAAAGTAGATACAGTTTTCACTAAGAGCCAGGGTTCTCAGCCTTGGCACTGTTGACATTTTGGACCAAATAATCTGGTTTTAGGGGCTGTCCTGTGTATTGTGGATATTTAGGAGCATTCCTAACCTCTGTTCACTAGATGAGATGCCACTAGCACACACCCCCTACCCTTTCAGTACACAGATGGGACAGTCAGAACTACATATTGGCAAATGTCCAGTGTTGGATGGCAAGGGATAAAATTACCTTTATTTGAGAACTGCTGATTTAGACATGGAAATATCTATAATGTTTGCAGATAAGTTAGATGATATAATAGAAAACAAGCATGTGGCTTTTGACAAGTTACTTGATGTATTTTCTGCATTAGTTTCCTAATCTGCAAAATGGACATACTAAGAGTTTCAGTTCTTACAGTGATGAATACATGAAATAAAATACTTAATATAGTACCCGGCACGTAGTAAGAATTTGTTGGATACTGTTGTTGATATTATCATAGCATCTTTACATAATATACTCTTTGAGATTGTTATCCCACTAAATATTGATAATGTGTTTGTTTTTATTCCTTTTAGTTTATCGTCGCATTGTAGAATCAGATGTAGGAGATTCTTTCTATATTAGAACCCATTTTGAATATGAAAAGGAATCTCCCTATGGACTTAGTTTTAACAAAGGAGAGGTGTTCCGTGTTGTGGATACCTTGTACAATGGAAAACTGGGCTCTTGGCTTGCTATTCGAATTGGCAAAAATCATAAGGAGGTAGAACGAGGCATCATCCCTAATAAGAACAGGTAGGAATGCTTGGATACTTCTCATAGAGTGAATCAAGTAAATGATGATAGATAATTTCAATCCCACTGGAAAATTTTGGTAATGTAAAGAATTATTTTTCATTGTATTCATATCTATAACTGGCTTAGCTTTACAAACTCCTCTTTATTATAACCATTAAGATTTAAACTGCATGTGAACTTCTATCTAGTATTGTACATTTCATTTCATTGTGGGTCTTTTTCCATTTTGCATTTTGAATGCCCTTACTTTAATTTTCTCCTTTCCTGCGTAGAGCTGAGCAGCTGGCCAGTGTGCAGTACACACTTCCAAAAACAGCAGGGGGAGACCGCGCCGACTTCTGGAGATTCCGAGGTCTTCGCAGCTCCAAGAGAAATCTTCGAAAGAGCAGAGAGGATTTGTCCGCTCAGCCTGTTCAAACAAAGTTTCCAGCTTATGAAAGAGTGGTTCTTCGAGAAGGTAGTTTATTTTCTACAGACTAACCTAATACCCTTTAACGTCAATATGTTTAAGAAAGAAAAGGTATAAAATATGCTGTTTTCCGTGTGAATTTCTTTCCAGCTGGATTTCTGAGGCCTGTAACCATTTTTGGACCAATAGCTGATGTTGCCAGAGAAAAGCTGGCTAGAGAAGAACCAGATATTTATCAAATTGCAAGTAAGTAGCTTCAGGGCTAACTTAAATGAGGTTGGGAGTTACACCTCTAAAGTGAGTGAGTTCTGATTCACTCAATAAAAATAAGACTTTTTGTCAGTGAAAAATTGCGGTTTATCCCATTCTTTTAATTTGGTGAGAAAACCCCAGTGACCATGTCCTTGTTCCACCAATTCTTTTAATGAGAAAAAATCACTGTTTAGGAAACTCTTGGCTTCATATGAAAATTGGGTAACATACAATGTCGTGGAATCCTCACAGTCATGCTCTGAGGTAAGGAGTATAATATCCATGTTACAGTTGAGCAGCCTGAGACTTGGATGGTGATTGTGTGGATCCTTACCAGTTTCTTCAGTCTAAACTTCCTGGTGACCCTCAGTGAACGAGTGACAAGACTCGGCTTTGACCACGACCCTTTCTTGCTCCATTCCAGCTCTTACAGTCATTAAACTGACAAATACACAAATAGTTGAAAAGGGTAATAAAACAGTGCTACTGTTATCAGCTGTTATTATTGCAGACATTTATAACAAGATAGTAAGTATAAGTATTGAGGTTGCACTGCTTTGTTTGCCAAATACGTTTTGCTTACAGATCCTTGTTTTATTTACTTTATTTTTTTAGAGACAGAGTCTCACTCTTGCCCAGGCTGGAGTGCGTGGTTAGATCATTGCTCACTGTAGTCCCAAACTCATGGGTTCAAGCAATCCACCCACCTCAACCTTCCAAGCAGCTAGGACTACAGGCGTGTGCCAACACGCCTAGCTAGTTGTTTATGATTATGATTATTATTATTATTATTTTTGTAGAAACGGGGTCTTCCTATGTTGTCTAGGCTGACCGTGAGCTATTGGGCTCAAGTGATCTCTGGCCTTGGCCTCCCCAAGTACTGGGATTACCAGTATGAGCCACTGCACCCGGTTTTGTTTTATTTTTAAACTGTTTTTGTAACTATAAAAGTGCCATTCTCTGTTTCGAAAAGTTGGAAAATTAATTTTTACACATATCACCACCATATATTTTATTCCATTGTATTTTTCCCACTCTTTTAAGCATATTTTGGCAAAGTTTTATTTATACTATTTAGAAAAGTTTATATCCTATTTTCCTTTTTCATAGGTAATGGCATATTTTCATTTTATTATTCTGCAATTTTTGGTTCATTTAGCCTTTTT